CTCTCTCAAAAATAAATAAACATTAAAAAAATTAAAGAAAAGTAGCTTAAAATTAAGGAAATATGAATACAGTATGGATTTTAGTTAATAAAATGAAATCAATAGTGGTTCATTAGTTGTGATGAATGTAATATGCGAATAGCAGTTGTTAACAATGAAGGAAATGAGGAGGAAGGATGGATGGAGTACAGAAGAACTCTCAGTACTATCTTTGCAACTTCTCTGTGTATCTAAAACCATGCTAAAATTAAAAGTTTATTAAAAATAAACACTGTGACAGTCATCCTTGCTTATTGAAGCACATCTCTGATTGCTTCCTTTGGATAAAGCCCCAAGAGTGAAATTGCTGAGCCAAAGTGTATACAAATTCTTATTTAGTAGAGATTAATTTTACAGTGTTATATATAGATGTTTTGCTGACTTTCTGAAGATGGGTTAGCCTTATGCCTTTATCCCTGCGTTTTCGTAGCTGGAGATCCAGGAGCTGGAAGAAAACCTAAGAGACCATGAATCCCAACTACCTCATGTTATAGACGAGAAGGAGTCAAGTGACTTGCCCAGGGTTGAGCACCTTGTTAACAGTGGGAAGTAGAACTCGTATCCCTGCAGACTGTCATCTGGGCTGGGCTAGGCTGTCCATGAGCATGTGCAAAAGAAATAAAGTTTTCTGACTCATAGTGGAATCAGTGATCAACAACCAGACCTGCCTCTATTTTCTGTAGGTAAACATAAGGGTTTGCTTCCTTTGTTTTGGACACAGTTGCTAGGAACGAAAAGGATTTTTAAAGTTTCAGGATAGATTTATTTTTATTATTTTTTAATGTTTATTTATTTTTGAGAGAGAGAGAGAGAGAGAGAGAGAGAGAGCTGGTGGAGGAAGGGCAGAGAGAGAGAGAAACACTGAATCCGAAGCAGGCTCCAGGCTCTGAGCGGTCAGCACAGAGCCGAACATGGGGCTCAAACTCACGGACCATAAGATTGTGACACTTAACCGACTGAGCCACCCAGGTGCCCCTTAAAGAATGGATTTAGAGGGGCACCTGGGTGGCGCAGTCAGTTAAGCGTCTGACTTCAGCCAGGTCACGATCTCGCGGTCCGTGAGTTCGAGCCCCGCGTCAGGCTCTGGGCTGATGGCTCAGAGTCTGGAGCCTGTTTCCGATTCTGTGTCTCCCTCTCTCTCTGCCCCTCCCCCGTTCATGCTCTGTCTCTCTCTGTCCCAAAAATAAATAAACGTTGAAAAAAAAAAAAATTAAGAATGGATTTAGACACAACTAATAGAATTGCTTGACTCAATCCCTGGGCAAATTATTTTTCCTTTCTGAGCTATTGCTTCCCAATCAGAACAATCAGAATTCCAACACCTACTACGCCTCAATCTTCTGAGAGGGACCTCGTAGAAATTAAGTAGCTAGAGCAGATTATCTGCAGGAGCCTTAGAAAGAGAAATGTCATTTAAGGAAAAGGCATTTGAATGAGAACAAAGGGCACAGTTTCTGTTAAGCAGTCTGTCATATCCCAAGAAAGTTCATTTCCTTGCCTGGTATGGTCTCTAGACAAGAAAAATCCCAGACTTGGCATTGGTAAGGAAGAAGAGGGCGATAGGAAGGAAGGGAGAGAATTGTTAGACTTCTTGGCTGGAAATCAGAAACAAATAGTTCCCGAGCCTGGCATTGTCAGGGGCCAGCGTCAGGACCAGCCCAAGAAGGCAGACGAGGAACATTACCGGTCCTGACTTGGCTCCACACACCGTTACTCAACAGAAAGTGGTGCGTAAGCAGGATTCTGGAGGATACAAGAGAAATGTAAACAATCACTGGGTGCGGACCTGCGGTTGCCTATAGAAGCTTTGCCAGGCCCGAGATTGCAGGAGTACATTTTGACTTTTAATTCCCAGACATTCTTCCAGGATTTGGGCAATGACAAAGGCGAGCTAAAACAAACTAAAGGCTGGGAATTAGGAAAGCACTGGCCTCTAATCTCAAACTGGAGCCTCTAATCATAGTCCTAACCCTCGCTCAGGTTAGCGAGCATCTTTGCTCTGCAACATGGAAATGACTTATTTTATTTGCCTATAAACATCTGTCAGCACCTGCACTGAATTGAAACTTGGCAGACAAAATGAGGAAGGGGCAACACTTCTAAAAACTCTTCCTATTTTTATGATTTGAACCGTTTACATCTTTGAAACAGTAGAACAGGAGAAAGACATTAGATAACTTTCAGGATCAGATAAAAGGAGGAAAGAATTAAACAGATGGCAAGAATCTCCCATTATTATTTATTGCAGTCATGATTTTGCAGACATGCAAAGATGTGGGCAGTTTGATTGGCACTGCTTGTGACTGTGCAGCAGAAAAAGAAGTGATGGCCCTGAGTTTCTTTTTTTTTTTTTTTTTTTAATTTTTTTTTTTTTCAACGTTTATTTATTTTTGGGACAGAGAGAGACAGAGCATGAACGGGGGAGGGGCAGAGAGAGAGGGAGACACAGAATCGGAAACAGGCTCCAGGCTCTGAGCCATCAGCCCAGAGCCCGACGCGGGGCTCGAACTCACGGACCGCAAGATCGTGACCTGGCTGAAGTCGGACGCTTAACCGACTGCGCCACCCAGGCGCCCCGGCCCTGAGTTTCGAGAGAGGACAGGATGAGGGGCGCCAGGGTGGCTCAGTCGATTGAGTGTCCGACTCTCGATTTCAGCTCAGATCATGATGTCTCAGTTCATGGGACCGAACCCCACATCATGCTCTGCGCTGACAGCGTGGAGCCTGCTCGGCATTCTTTCATTCCCTCTCCCTCTGCCCCTCTCCTCTGCTCATGCTTTCTCGGTCTCTCTCTCTCTCTCTCTCTCTCTCTCAAAATAAATAAATAAACACTTTTAAAAAGGGGGGTGGGGAACAGGATGAGATGGGAGCATCTGGGTGTGATCTCAAAAGAGTCCAGAACTAAATGAAAATCTATACTTTAAAATGTGGATTTCTAGCTTAACTGTATTGTGTGCTTTTACCTACAAAAGTAGTTCTGGGCTCTATTCATGCAAATAAAAACTCTTTACTGGATCAGCTTTGATCTTGGTCGGTAAGGTCAATATTAATTATATTTCACTGAGATGACTTAACTGCCCCCTGTTGGGCTTACCTATGAGTCTGGTTCCTTGTTGCTGCCTTCAATCCTACCTCTGGAGTTCCATTCCTTTAAATTGGATGGTAAGCAGATCATGTATCACAGGCCAATACCAGTCGACCAACAGAAGTCTGAATCACTATGTTGAAATGATATTAAGGTAGAAAAGGGCTCCCACAACTGATTAGCAAGATAACAAGAAAGGGAAGAGAGGCAATGTCTGTGGGTTAAGGCAATGTGTGTTGCAGTACCCATTCTTCTGGAAAGGGTTATTTATTAAGCTTTTATCTATCATCGGCACCTCAGTGTGGATATACTGGAGCTGGGTTTGTAGATACAGCATTGGTATTTTTAGAAGCAAAACTCAGGATGTATGGTTTAAGCAAGGACTTTCTTTTACTGATTTTGTAAATTAAATCACGTACCAGTTCTCACAAAGATATACAAGTAATATTTGATTAAGCATGTAATGAATCACAACCTATTGAAATTTGTGGGAATTATTATATAAAAGGTAATGAAAACACTCCAGGGCACACCTACCCAAGGATAAGTCCAAAGCACAGGACAGTCAACTCTGGCTGGGAACCCTGCGCTTTCAGGGGCCATCAGAGGGCCCTGGTCTCTGAAGTCATGGTGGTTTCAGAAGCAGGTCGAAAGTATAATGAAAAAAGGAAGTGAAAAGTCACTGACATACTTCACTTATTCCACAATTTTGCTTTTTTAAAAGAAACTTCTCTGCAGGGCTCGGCACTAAGCGTTGCCTTGGGAGAGCTTCAGTCTAGATAGCATGGTCAGGGTAATTATTAACTACTTACAATATCATCCTGGCTCCCCCTGAATTCACTGACCTTACAGTGATGTCTTCTCTTTTTCAGCAAGGATCTTGTGGGCCCACACACATGCTAAGGCTCTCTATATTGAGGTCAAATCAACCTTTCAAAAAAAAAAAATTATTTACAAAGTTTGATTTCAGCTGAAATAAAACTTACATCTACAACAAGAATTCACCAAGTTATTTTTTAATTTAAAAAAAAAAAATTGGGGGGGGGGGCGCCTGGGTGGCTCAGTCGATTGAGCATCCGACTTCATCTCAGGTCATGATCTCATGATCTGTGAGTTCGAGCCCCGCATCGGGCTCTGTGCTGACAGCTCAGAGCCTGGAGCCTGCTTTGGATTCGTGTCTCCCTCTCTCTCTGCCCCTCCCCTGCTTGTGCTCTGTCTCTCTCTGTCAAAAATATATAAACATTTAAAAAAATTTAACATTTATTTATTTTTGAGAGAGACAGAGCACGAGCGGGGGTGGGGCAGAGAGAGAGGGAGACAGAATCCAAGGCAGGCTCCAGGCTTTGAGCTGTCAGCACAGAGCCTGACATGGGGCTTGAACTCACAGACTGCGAGATCATGACCTGAGCTGAAGCCAGAGGCTCAACCAACTGAGCCACCCAAGTGCCCCTCACCAAGTACTTTAAGCACGGAGTTGTAAAGAGAAACATTTCAATAAACTCTAACTCCTCAGCAAGAATGAAAAAGCTCTCTCCACTGTAACTCCATCCTTCTCAACCACTTCCCAACCCGGTTCTCTCCATACATTCAAGACTTTTAAGCCTAGAATGCTTTCTCCTTCTTGTGCATATCTTTTACTACAATGATCACACTTTACTGTTATCTGTATTTCTTTGTCTATTAAACCTCAAAAACAGAGAGCAGGAAATGTGTATTCTGTCCAGATACCTCCTGAATACTTCGTCACTGCCAGGCACTGTGCCAGGCGTGAGAGATACAACAGAAAACAAGGTGGACAAGATCCCTGACTGCATAGAGCTCAATCCAGCGGGGTCTTTCTAACCCAAGTGCCTAGCTCATGGTAGGTGTGCAATCAAGACTGAAAGAAAAGGGGCACCTGGCTGGCTTTCAGTCTGTAGCACCTGTGACTTTTGATCTCGGGGTCGTGAGTTCAAGCCCCACACTGGGCATAGAGCTTACTTTAAAAGAATAAATGAAAGAGAAAGAAAGAAAGAAAGAAAGAAAGAAAGAAAGAAAGAAAGAAAGAAAGAAAGAAAGAAAGGAAGGAAGGAAGGAAGGAAGGAAGGAAGGAAGGAAGGAAGGAAGGAAGGAAGGAAGGAAGCTTCTGCCAGGAATTTATAAATTAGTTGCTTAGGTTAATACGACAGCACATAGGTAAAAGGCAGAAATAGGAAATCTTAAGTCAATTGCATTGTGGTTGAATCCCGAGTCATTTCCACCATCACTAATGGCAATTATTGAAAGTAACAGCCCAAAGAGCAGGAAACCACATTCTTAGAATCCAAAAGAAAGCAGATTATGTAAAAAAGCTTTTGATGTGGAAGAATACTAATTCCGATTAAAAAAATTATTACCTAAAAACTAAGATCCATATACATGGAGAGTAGAACTCCTGACTTATTCTGATGCTTCCTGAACTGACTATATCATGGAAATAAAGGTCAAAGAAGGCTCCGTAGTCAGGAAATGCTGTGCACTAATAGATACATATTTTTTAAGTTTATTTATTTGGAGGGGAGAGGCAGAGAGAGAGAATCCCAAGCAGGCTCCACGCTATCAGCACAGAGTCTACTGTGGGGCTCAAACTCATGAACCGTGAGATCATGACCTGAGTCAAAATCAAGTGTTGGATTTAACCAACTGAGACCACTGAGGCACCCTAGATATTTTTAACATATTGGGAAAATGACAATAAAACAGTGTTTCTGAATTTTTTTCCCATAAAACAATGATCCAATGAGTTGTTCCCTGAAAAGAGTATAAAGTGTCTGGAAAACATCACGCATCAGCCCCTCTCGCAGCTTCACAAAGCACGCTATCATATTAATGTCTCTGAAAAGTTCTGCAGAAAAGAAATATGTTTAACTGTGTTAATCATCATTTCCCATACTTACTTAAACCACCAAATTCTTTTTTTTTAATTTATTTAAATTCAAGTTAGTTAACATACAGTGTAGTCTTGGCTTCAGGAGTTGAACCCAGTGATTCATCTCTTACGTATGACACCCAGTGCTCATCCCAACAAGTGCTCTCCTTAAGGCCCATCACCCATTTAGCCCATCCCTCCCCCCAGCTCCCCTCCAGCAACCTTCAGTTTGTTCTATTTAATAGTCTCTTATGGCTTGCCTCCTTCTCTGTTTTTGTCTTACTTTTCCTCCCCTTCCCGTGTTCATCTGTTGTGTTTCTCAAATTCACATATGAATGAAATCATATGATATCTATCTTTCTCTGACAGACTTAATTCACTTAGCATAATACATTCTAGTTCCATCCACGTTGTTGTAAATGGCAAGATTTCATTCTTTTTCATTGCCAAGTAGTATTCCATTGTGTGTGTAGATTTCTTTTGTTTTAAATTTTTTTTTAACCTCTTATTTATTTTTAAGACAGAGTGAGAAAGAGCAAGCGAGCAAACAGGTGAGGGGCAGAGAGAGAGGGAGACACAGAATCCGAAGCAGATTCCAGGCTCTGAGCTGTCAGCACAGAGCCCGATGCGGGGCTTAAACTCACAAGCTGTGAGATTATGACCTGAGCCTAAGTCAGACAGTTAACCAACAGAGCCACCCAAGCGTCCCTTTGTGTTTGTAGATTTCATTCTTTTTCATTGTCAAGTAGTATTCCAGTGTGTGTGTGTGTGTGTGTGTGTGTGTGTGTGTGTGTGTGTCTGTGTGTGTGTGCATGCGTGCATCACATCTTTTTTTTTTTTTTTTAACCGCATCTTCTTTATCCATTCATCAGTTGATGGACATGATAGCACTGCTATAAACATTGGGGTGCATGTGCCCCTTCAGATCAGCATTTTTGTATCCTTTGGATAAATTCCTGGTAATGCAATTGCTCGGTCATAGGGTAGTTCTATTTTTAATTTTCTGAGGAACCTCCATACTGTTTTCCAGAGTGGCTGTACCAGTTGCATTCCCACCAACAGTGCAAAAGAGTCCCCTTTCTCCGCATCCTTGTCAACATCTGTTGTTTCCTGAGTTGTTAATTTTAGCCATTCTGACAGGTGTAAAGTGGTATCTCACTGTGGTTTTGATTTGTATTTCTCTGATGATGAGTGCTGTTGAGTATCTTTTCACGTGTCTGTTAGCCATCTGGATGTCTTCTTTGGAGAAGTGTCTATTCATGTCTTCTGTCCATTTCTTCACTGGATTATTTGTTTTGGGGTATTGAGTTATAAATTCAAAATGGATGAAAGACCTAAATGTGAGACAGGAAACCACCAAAATCCTACAGGAGAAAACAGGCAGCAACCTCTTTGAACTTGGCCACAGCAACTTCTTACTTGACATGTCTCCAGAGGCAAGGGAAATAAAAGCAAAAATGAACTATTGGGACCTCACCAAGAGAAAAGCTTCTGCACAGTGAAGGAAACAATCAGCAAAACTAAAAGGCAACCGACAGAATGGGAGAAGATATTTGCAAATGACATATCGGATAAAGGGTTAGTATCCAAAATCTATAAACTACCAAATTCTCCTTTCAAAGAATATCTCTTAGGTTAGGAAAATCGGCTTTAAACTTCAATTTACAATACCGTTCACTTCTACTTACTCATTAGTGGTGATCTAGCAAACCAAGACATTCTCACAATACAGTGTCAGGTGATAAAAGTATTTTTCTTGTAAAAGTATCTTTTAATAAAATTTGCTGCGCAAATAATAATCTTATTAACATTCTGCATTTTGCTTCTAAATGAAGTCACCAACTAACCACTAGATGGCAGTATGATTCCATTTATATTACAGTCATCCCACAGCAGCATAGTAATGGTTCAAAAGGTATTTGAGTTTCCTAAGGATTCCTTTGCGGGTTTATTCATTCATTTAGTAATTCCTTCAAACATTTTTAGGTAACTTTTAAGTTTCAAGGATTCTGATGGATGTTGAAGATCAGAAAAGGAATGACAAAGCTCACTGTAAACATTATAATTATTGGATTCCTAGGAAACTGTAAGGCGACACCCATCAATTTAACAAACACTTTTGTGGAATGAAGAGAAGAGAAGAGAAGAGAAGAGAAGAGAAGAGAAGAGAAGAGAAGAGAAGAGAAGAGAAGAGAAAGGGAAGAAAGGAGAAAAGGAAAGGAAGATAGAGAAAGAAAAGAAAGGAAGGAAGGGAGAGAGGAAGGAAGGAAGGAAGGAAGCAAGCAGGGAGGGAGGGAAGGAAGGAAAGAAGGAAACTACATAAAACATGCACACTGATTGCATGACATTTTAAGTTATCAACACAGAAATGAGAATACGGCACATGTGGAAAGCCTGGTGATAGACAAGCATCTAAGAAATTTTCACAGTCTGAACTAAGTGTCCCAAAGGCCACAAGTTGTGCAACTCGAGAGTCAATTTTGACCCAGGAAGGACATGCCTGTCGTCAGTCCTGGGGAACTTCTGGAGGGGACTCAGTTTCGAACTCGGAAATTAGGGAGAGATGAAGGTGAAGATCCAGCCTGTCTCTGGCTTTTGGGCCACAGATCTGGAGCTTCAGTGCCAGAAGAGAACTTGTGGGCGCCTGAGCGGCTCAGTCGGTCAAGCGTCCGACTTCAGCTCAGGCCACGATCTTGCGATCTGTGGGTTAGAGCCCCGCATCGGGCTCTGTGCTGACAGCTCAGAGCCTGGAGCCTGCTTCAGATTCTGTGTCTCCCTCTCTCTCTCTGCTTCTCCCCCACTCACACTCTGTCTCTCTCTTCTCTCAAAAATAAATAAACATTAAAAAGAAGTACAATACCCTCTTCCTTAGAGGCAGGGAGATGGGCAGCAGCAGGTCAGTGAGGCAGGGCTAGAGCTTGAACGCAGGCCTTCTAATGCCCAGCTGACGTTCTTTTCAATATTTCATCACCAATTTTGGAACTTAGAGTAGATCCTCCCCTAAACTCTTTCTCTCCCCTCAACTTTTTTTTGTGGATTCCCA